GTAACTAATTATGTATTTGTTTGAAAGTTTATGTACTAGTGCTAAAATGATATTTGAATTAGTTGTTAGGACAGATTTGGTGTTACATTTTAAATAACATCATTGACGTATCTTAAGAAATATTCTTTAGATTTTGCGAAAAACTTTTTGTTGATTTTTTTTTCATTTGACTTCTAAATATTCATTTGAAGACAAGCTGGAGAATAATTTTCATCATTAACTGTTTTATTTTTCTTACAATTGGTAAATTGTCTAAATTAAATGTTAAAAATAATTTTTTTTTAGAGTTGTTTAATTCTAGAGCATATTTATTAGGTATATTACTTGCATCTAATACTAATAAGTTGGTTTTTTTTTTATTTATCAAATCAATACCATGTTTAAAGATTTGTATTAAATCTAGTATATCTTTTACATATAATAAAAACTGAGGGAGCGATGCGGGATGCATATTGATTCTAAAACCTTTGTGAAAAATAATTAATTAGAGCGATAACAAATATCTATAAGGTGTATATATATATATATATATATATATATATATATATATATATATATATATATATATATATATATATATGTCCCGGATCAAAAAAGATAAATACACGGGATATTCTAAGTAATCTAGCATGCTTTATGCGTGTGTTACCCAATATGTTATCATGATTATGTACACGTTCGCGTGACATAGTTATGATTTCCCAAATTAAAGGCGAAATATGCGTTTGCGCAACTTTGACAAAATAATCTTAAAAATAATAAAGTGTTATTAATTGTGTACACATACGCGTGTCATGATTCCTGACATACTAAGCAAAACGAATACACGTACGCGTGATTCGTTTCAAGATAATTCTTTAATTTCAAATAATCAAGCAATTAAAAGCGGTTTGACGCAAAAGTGCATAAATTTCTCTAGAACATAAAATATCCAGAATTAGTAAAGCCAGGTATAATTATTAAAGCGACCGTACTAGAATCACGGAACTCGAGAGTGCCTCACACCTTCTCCCGGATTAATAGAATTCCTTACCCGATCTTCTGTATTTCGCAGACTTAATCAGATTCAATTTTCCTTGAATTGGGATTTTAAAATGGTGACTTGGGACACGCAAATATTTATTCCCAGTGGCGACTCTTAAATAAAATAAATTAATCTCTTTTCAAATAATGTCACTTAAATAGGAAAAACTCCTTTCTTTCCTATCTTCCTCGGGAAAAAGAAGGTGTGACAACATTTATGGGATCGAGTAGCACGCCGCAGAGGGTTTTACTAATTTATGATAGCGCTTGGGCTGAAGGAGCCCCTCCGGATTCTGCACACACCCCCAGTGAGCGCGGTTGATTTATATTGAGGGATGGATCTTCCCTGGGCATGGATCTTGCCCGAAGAACTTCTATTTGGGAATGGATCTTCCCCGGACTGGATTGGCCTTATATACTACTGAGTGACTGACTAGCAGTTGCTATGTATATATTCGGGATGAATGTTCCCTGGGCTGGATTGGCCATATACAGTACTGAGTGATTGAGGATGATAAGTGGAAAGTGTGAGACAATAAGATTGAGTACTCTGAGAGTGCGAGTACATGAGTTCATCACTGAGATACATTATGTCGACATACATATATGACATACATGCATAGAGATGCATTTTCCTCATGTTGAACAGTATCACGTCATTCCTGACTTCTTACACATGTTGACATATAGGCATAGAGATGTATTTTACTCATGCCATTTGAAAATGAAACATTTACCCGTTGAAAGCTTTTTGGAAAAAATTAAAGATTTCAAACTTACTCATATTATTGGTGATTTCAGTACGAGATTTGGATTTTCACTGATTTACTTGAAAAGCAGACCTATTTTCTGGAACTGTGAATGAGTAGAGCATTTTATCTCTGAGTCCTTTTTTTTATTTATTTCATTATGTTGTTATGAACTTTCAACCTAAGGTTAGGTTTGTTACTTATTGAGTACATGAGGTCGGTTGTACTCATACTAAAAATCTTCTGCCTCTTGTTCATGGCTGCTGATGTTGCTATGTTTGATGGGAGCTGGATTTGAAGATGTACATGCGTTCCGATTGTAGCTGCCTCTTTGTCACGACCCCAATCTCGGTCCTGATGGCGCCCAACACTAATGCTAGGCAAGCCCGACCAAATTAAATACTCTCAACCCAAATACGCAATCCGTTAACAATTAATACGATTAAGATAGCAAATATCAAAGTTCCAGTCCGAATCTAAATAAAATAGTACAGAATATAATACCGAATATCCAAACATTCCTCAATAGATCTGGAGTCACGAGTCTAGAGCCTCTAGATGTAACAGTGTAATATATCCATAGTAATAAAGAAGTCTAGGATATGGAAAGACAAATGAAATAAAGGGGAGGAGTCGGGTCCTGCGGACGTCAGGCAGCTACCTCAACAACTCCTGAAAATAACTTCACGAAAAACAGCAAACAGCTCCACTAAGTCTCCGGAGCACCTGAATCTGCACACATGGTGCAGGGAGTAAAGTGAGTACTTCCAACTCAGTGAGTAATAAACATATATAATGGCTGAAAGTAAGGAATTCTGAAATATCACAATATAAAGCTATAATCAGCGATTCAGCACATAAAAAGGTGGAACAACAACAATACCAGGACAAGTAAGACAAACAGGTATAAATGCATGAATGCAATGCAATGCACATGACCGCTGCGGCGCGCAGCCTGATCCATTTGGGTACCCGCGCTCACTGGGGGAGTTCAGACTCCGGAGGGGCTCCTACAGCCCAAGCGCAATATCATCGTAACATTCGTTGCGACGTGCAGCCCAATCCACACTCAGTCCAGATATATATATGCATGCAAGCCAATCGGGTACAGTCAAATTATTCATTTTAGTTTCAATTATTAGGAATTTTAGAGCTAAGTGTTTAAACCTTTATTTATTTACTAAACATTTCGAAGCAGTGTCTAACTCAGGACTGATATCATGAAATATGCTAAGCATCATGGAAGCAGTGATAAGGATCCCTGAAGGATGCACATGATAGGCACAAAGCCCCAAACAATTCATAAACTCCAAGTAGGATAATTACCAAAAAATTTCTAGTCAAGAACGTAGTACGAACATAACTCGGAATGGACTAGGTCACAATCCCCAGTCACAATCGACCCCGCACTCGTCATAGAGTACGTGTCTCGCCTAAATATAGCGTCACAGTGTGATATACCGGGGTTTCAAACCCTAAGGTCAAAATCTACATCTATTACTCACCACAAGCCGGCCACAAGTCTAGCTCGCTATGCCTTTGCCTTTCGAATCAACCTCTTCGCACGCCGAATCTGATTAAAACCACAACGAATACATTACAATAGGCTAAGAAACATAACCCAATCGAAAAGACTCGAAAAACACCAAAATTCACGAAGTTGGCAAAACCCGAGCCCCGGGCCCACTTCTCGAAAAATTACGGGATTTACATCACCGGATTCCTCGTCTCGCCACGAGTCCATACATATAAAATTCACCAAAATCGGAGTCCATTTGACCCCTCAAATCATCAATTTAAGCTCTCTTAAGTTTCAAGCCCTAACCTCCATTTTTGGCATTTAATCCCTTAAATTTCAGTGTTCAATCCATGATTTTTCACTATATAAACATAATCCGAGTCCAATAGTTCATACCTGATGAAATCCCTTCGAATTCTCTTCAAAATCGCCCAAGAAACCGCCTAAGCCGAAGTCCAAAATATTTTTCTTCTCTTTCAAAATCGTGAAAACACTGTTCACTTAAACCCAGACCGTTTTCCGCTTCCGCGGTTATCATGCCGCACCTGCGGTCACCGCATATGCGACCAAACGATCGCTTCTGCGATCTCACTTAAATTTCTCCGGACCGCTTATGCGGTCTAGAACCGCTTCTGCGGTCGCCGCATTTGCGGATCCACGTCCGTTTCTGCGGAAATTGCCAAGCCCTAAAGGACCGTTTCTGCGATCGCTCACCCGCTTCTGTGGAACCGCTTCTGCGGTCCATTTCCGTAGAAGCGGAAATACCAGATGACAGCAGCAACAGACCTGCAACACACCTCAAAACCTCTCGTTCAACCACCCGAATTCACTCCGAGGCCCCCGGGACCTCAACCAAAAATACCAATACATCCTAAAACTTCATTCAAACTTGTTCTCATCCTTAAAACACATCAAGCAACGCTAAAACCATCAAATCACATCGAATTCAAGCCTAAGTTTCTTAAAAACTTCCGAATTACGCATTCGATCAAAAAGCCAACCAAACGACGTCCAAATGACCTGGAATTTTACCTGCACATCCAAAATCACCTAGCGAAGCTACTGCAACTCTCGGAATTCCATTCCGACCCCCGGATCNATAAAATTTAAAAATTGAGGGAAAACCAGAAGGGAGAAAATAGGAGAGAAAATTTACCCTTTTTTTAAAAAAAATCTCGGTATTTACCCCAAAAAAGATTATTACAAAATAAGCCTGAATTTTTAAAAAAAGTGTCATTCTATTTCTGAAACATTTACGAACTACGCGGGTCTGATTCTCACCGGATGTGAGATACGTAGGCAACCTCCATAGGGTTCGGCCCCATTTTTACAAAAATAACTTTAAAAAAAAAAGGAAATGTGTCTAGTGTTTTTCTTTATCAAAAACAAATAAGCAGACCCAGCTTCGGTTAATCCCCAACCATTTTTGTCGAAATAGCCTTAAAACATCTTCAAAATTATTGAAAAGCTGTTCTCGCAAGAACGAACATGTTTGTCAAATGGGCATTGCTTTTACCATGATGCCCTTTCCCCGGCCCTAAAGTTATCCTTGGATTTAAGAAGGGGCCATAGATGCAAAAATAGCCACCATCTCTTTGATTTTTCTTAAAATTGAGTTATTTACGAAAAATTCTTTTACAAAACGAGTGCATTGGTTTGGTCTCTTGAGACTAGTGTCAACCCTAACCTTAACCACCCACAGGTACAAAATGAGCACTATCCAAAACACACCGTTGACGGTTGTAGATGAGGCTCCACTTCAGCTCCATATGTGGTGGTATGACTTAGGAGAAGATGGTCAGGAATGGGTCACTAAGTATCTGGGAGCCCTCACAGATATTATGAAAGTTAAACTACGCGATGATTTGATTGAGGCACTAGTGACTTTGTGGGACCCCGTTCACAATGTCTTCCGCTTCTCTGATTTTGAGCTTACTCCCACTTTAGAAGAGATAGTTGGATATTCCGGCTTTGGCAGGGATTTGAGAAATCAGAAGCTCATACTCCCGAAGGCTCCCTCTGTACACCGATTCTTTGGTCTTCTGAACATCGGTAATCAAATCAGAAAGACTAACGTAATCAAAGGGTGTTGTTCTTTCTACTTCCTATATTCTTGGTTCGGGCAGCCAAATGGGTTTGAAATACATGAAAAGGGCCTTAGCAACAAGCAAAACAAGGACACATGGCAGATTCACCGTCGCTTCGCCTTCATAGTGGCGTTTCTAGGGATCATGGTCTTCCCAAACAAAGAGCGGACAATTGACATCCGCATAGCCAGGGTCGTACAGGTCCTCACTACCAAAGAACATCACACTCTTGCACCGATCATTCTATCAGACATTTATCGGGCGTTGACTTTGTGTAAGTCCGGGACAAAATTCTTCGAAGGGTGCAATATTTTGTTGCAAATGTGGTTGATTGAACATCTCCGATATCACCCCAAGTTCATGCGGTATGGTCCGAGCAAGGACAATTTCATTGAGAGTTATGAAGACAGAATAAAAGATTATAAATCTCCAGAAGGGGTGGAAGGCTGGATATCCCACCTAAGATCTTTAAATGCAAGTCAAATTGAGTGGACTTTGGGATGACTCCCGGTAAGAGAGGTGATACACATGTCGGCCCTAAGGAGTTATTTGCTGCTGTTAGGTTTGAGAAGTGTCCACCGTATGCGCCACAGAGAGTTCTAAGACAGCTACAAAGGTACCAAGTGATGCCTGATGATGAAAATTTGAGTGTGCAAGTGATTGAGCTACATCCCGAAGTCCCACTCCCTGAGGCTTTAATCCAACAAATTTGGAATGGTTGTCGCTACTTGAAAGATGATACCCAAGTGCCAGATCCTGCGAAAGGTGGGATAGATCCGGGTTATGATATGTGGTTTGAGAAGAGATCTTGCGTGGATAATGAGCGAGAACCCGAGCCCAAAAGGCCCTAAAAAGGCCGCATGTTCAAGCCTTTGATGATAAAATCCAAGAACGGTTGGCTTGGGGTATAAAAGAAAAGGGATACAAAGCAACTATTCATGCCTTAGAAGAAAACCTAAGAAACCTCAATTTTGAGAAAGACTTACAAACACAAGAAGCAGAAGGTGAAAAGAAGAGTCTGATTCGCGAGAATGAAGCCCTCCGTGTTCGGCCTTCAACAGATGAAGAAAGCCTCTGAAGTGCCAGTGAGAAGTTGGAAAGACCAGAGAACCGTTGCCAATCTGATGGAAAAGGTGCAAGATTATGACTCCATCTTGGCAAAGACTGAAAAGGCGTTGGACAAAGCCAAGGAAAAAATCGTACAGTTAAATCAGGAGGTACAATCTAGTAAGGATCGCCAAGTAATGAAATTTGAAGAAGAGAGGGCTCAATTCGAGAGAGAGAAGGCCCATTGGGTACGTTCAGAAGCTCAGCTCCATGCACAATTGGAAGAAATGAGAAGGTACAATAGAGAATATCAGCATGCAGATATTGATAAGGAGAGGGCACAGGCGAGACTCGAGCAGGCCAGACTTCGGGCTCAGTTGGAGTCAGCTTTAGATCGCGAGGGCCACATAAGAGAGATAGCCACCACTCGCCAAAAGCAGTTACAAGATCGAGACCAGAATTTCCAGTACTTCAGAGAGCAAGTCCGTGATTTGGCTGTTTATACCGCTCAAAGTTATGTGAACTGCCAAGGGATGGATTATGAGAAGTTTTTGGAGCATGCACCTACTTTTGCCCGTCATCTTACAGCAGAGCAGATCTTCCAGTGGTTGAAAGCAAAAAGATTGTGAAGTTGAAACATAGTCGTAGTTGTTAGTATTTTGAGTCATTGTTAAGTCCTTTAAATCATTGTTTTTAGTCTTGTCAAAGTCTGTTAAGTCGTGTTCGATGTAATGTCCTTTCTGTCATTGTATTTTGAATTGTTTCGCTTTGTTAAAAAAAAACTCAAAACTATTGTTATTTTCTCCTGAACTACGTAATGGTCTGATTCATGCGGTGTCATGATACGTAGGCAATCCTCATCAGATGTGATCATAGCCATAACTAATCTTATAAAAAAACAAAAAAAAAACAAAAAAATAATAATAAAAATGGTGTCAAATTCAAGATGTAAATAAACTAATAAACCAATAAGCCGGGATGAAGCATGAAGCCTTCCAAACTCATTCTAGAAATGAAAATGGCATTAGGTGCATGACATACAATGTGTGATTAATATCTGCCAAAATGTTAACTCTAACACGTTGTTGTTTATCATTTTTAAAAGATAAAGTTAAAAGAGGTGGTTGGTTTGTGGTTTAAACTGGTGACTCACCCTTACAACACGAGATCAAAAGAAAAAAGTAGAATGGCGAAAAACAGTGAGAATGAGTCAGATAATGATGATGTCCATGGACAATTGTCGAACAAGGTTCGCGACTGGTTGAAGAAGTAAGAGTGTTGAAACAAATGGCAGGATGTACCAAGCCTGGTGTGAATGGACAGGCACCACCCCCACTACCCATAGAGCCTTCGGATAATTTTTAATGTGTTAGTTGCAAATCAAGTGCCATCTCCATAACAATAACCCTTGTACCAACTTGGATTCAGTCCGAGCATTAACCTTCCCACTATCCCCAGTACATCCATCCCACGTCCTCCAACCGCACCCCTCAAGAAATCACCCACCTACTATAACCTTGGTCCCTTACTTTCACCGTTCCTCAACCGGCTCTTGCTCAAAAGCTCAAGAATGATCCACATCTGAATGCTTATGATACCCAACATTACTCTCCAGAACTGACTTTCAAGGTTCCAGATTCATACAAGCACACTTCTCAGAACATGTTCCCAGTTGAGATCGAAAAGCCCGAAAAGAATATGGAACATGAGGAAATGACCAGAAAAATGAAGAGCTTGGAACAAACCATGAGAAACATAGAGGGTTTGGGAGGCCACAAGAGTGTTTCTTTTAATGATCTATGCATGTTCCCCCATGTTCATTTGCCACCGGGCTTCAAGACCCCCAAGTTTGACAAGTATGACGGTCATGGTGATCCCGTTGCCCATTTGAAGAGATATTGTAACCAATTAAGAGGAGCAGGAGGTAAAGAAGAATTACTCATGGCTTATTTTGGGGAAAGTTTGACAGGAATTGCTTCAGAGTGGTTCATAGATCAAGACATATCTCACTGGCACGTTTGGAATGACATGGCTCAAGATTTTGTCCAACAATTTCAATACAATATTGGTATAGTGCCACACCGCTCCTCTCTCGTCAACATAAAGAAAAAACCAACAGAAAGCTTCAGAGAATATGCAATCAAGTGGAGAGAGCAGGCTACTAGGGTCAAACCACCAATGAAAGAGGCAGAAATGATTGACTATTTTCTCCAAGCTCAGGATCATGATTACCTCCATTACATGTTGGCCGCCATTGGTAAACCCTTCGCTGAGGCGATTAAGATTGGTGAAATAGTTGAGAATGGCATGAAGTCGGGCAAAATTGTGAGTCAGGCAGCCCTTAAGGAAACCAAGCAAGCAATTCAAAGCGGGTCAAGCAGTTTTGGAAGTCGGAAAAAGAAGGAGGAAGGATCCATGATGGCATCTGGATTCGAGGGAGTTCAAAGAGGAATAGTTCCTTCTTACGTGCAATTCCAACAAGGACAATCCAATTCTCCTCAACATTACTATCCGCCTCAGGGTCCCCGGTACTCAGTTCCCCCACAACAATACACAGTGTTTAATACTCAGGCTTATGCTAGGCCTCCCAATCACCAACAATGGCGAGCACCGATTCCATAAGGCTCCCGTCAACTCCGGCAAAATTTTCAGGCGCCATATAATCCTCGTCCCAGATAGGAATATGTGAGAGAACAAGAGCCAAAGAAAGAGTTCACCCCAATTAGATAATCGTATACAAGCCTATTTCGAAAGTTGATGCAGTTGAAGTTGATTGAACCTATCATGCCACCTTATGTGAATCCGAATTCAAAAGGTTTTGACTCCAATGCAAGATGTGAGTATCACTCTAACACCCAAGGTCATAGTACTGAAAATTGTTGGACATTAAAGAAAGCCATTGAAAATTTGATTGAAGCAAAGGCAATTGTGGTAACAAACAATGAGGATACTCCTAATATCACAAACAATCCGCTCCCAACTCATAATAATACACATTTTATTGGGATGATTTGTGATGATCGGGATTATAAGCAGTCTGGCAAGACAGAGATGATTGTTGGAACCATAGGGCAAGAGCCAAAAGTTATAGTAAGCCCGCCGCAATCGGCACCGTTGATTGTGAAAGGTGCGAGTTCTAGTTCAAACTTGGCGGGTTCTGAAAAAACGATTCTCCATGTCCCTGGAAGCACAAAAAAGGTTGAGGTTCAATTGGGTAGGCCAAAACATTAAATCCCTGTGGGCATTCAAAAGATTGTTCCGAATAATGGTTTAAGAAATATAACAGAGCCAGTTGTGATCCGACCTGTTGCACAACTCCCAGTGTCAAACACAAAAGCTATTCCCTGGAATTATAACAAGACTGTCATGACATACAAAGGAAAAGAGATAATGGAAGAAACAGATGAAATGGGGGGGTTGACCCGCTCTGGAAGGTGCTACTCACCAGAGGAATTGAGAAAAGCTAAGCAATCCAAGGAAAATCACTTTCCAGTGAAAGAACCCGTTTCAGAGAAAGAAGCGGAGGAATTCCTTAAGAATATGAAAATGCAAGCCTACTCAATCATTGATCAACTAAGGAAAACCCTCGCTTAGATATCTTTGTTATCTCTGTTTTTGCACTCTAAAGAACATCGTCGTGTGTTGATCAAAACTTTGAACGAGGCATATGTCTCAGAAAAGACAACGGTGAATCAACTAGAAAGAATGGCTGAAAGATTCTTTGAGGTGAACAAAATTTCTTTCAGCGATGATGATTTGCCTGAGGAAGGAGCTGGGCACAATAATGCTTTGCATCTTATTGTCAAATGTGAAGGGCATTACGTAAAAGGAGTCATGATTGACGGAGGCTCAAGTGTAGATGTATGCCCTCTTTCTATTCTACAACAACTGAACATTGACAGTAACAGAATTCGAACTAGTAGTGTAAGCATCAAAGCTTTTGATGGTTCAAGAAGAGACACTATTGTGGAAATCGAACTCACCATGACAATTGGCCCGGTTGATTTTAACATTGTCTTTCAAGTGTTGGATATGAAAACTTCCAATAATTTTCTTTTGGGAAGGCCGTGGATCCATATGGCCATAGCTATACCATCCACCCTACATCAAATGGTCAAATTCGAGTATGACAGGCAAGAAATTGTTGTTCATGGGGAGGGCGACTCATCCGTCTATAATGACCCGTCCATTCCATGTATCGAGACCAAGGAAGGAGGTGAATCCCTCATATATCATACATTTGAGGTGATTGAGGTAGACTAAGTGGAAGAAGGAAAACCAATTCTGCATCCCCATCTTTCAGCCACATTTATGATGGTAGCTTCACTGATGTTGAGGAACGGCTATGAACCAGGAAAATGATTAGGATCCTTTCTGCAAGGAATTGTGAACCCCATTGCTCCCTTTTCAAAGAAAGATACCTTTTGCTTGGGTTTTAAACCAACACCAGCTGACAT